ACAGCAAATGGGCAATCAGAGCGACACATCAGGAATTACTAACATTTTGTTTGTAGCTAGTGTCACATAAACCATGCAAAAAGAAAAGTGTCCCCTTACCACGCTGTGATGCCTTTGACTAGATCTATTTCTGATAGATCTATTATTACCTGTGGACAGAAGCAAAAGTGCCATTAATGATCTGGAACAGGCTGCAAAAGAGTGACAGCCAAAGACAGTTTGACGTGAAAGGGATCAATAAAAAAGAAAACTGTCATGAGCCCGTTTGGAAAATGAAAGGTTGCATATTTGTCTGACAAATCACCGTGCACTGTGCACCAAGCAGTTTCACTACCAACCTTTTACCCCACAGCTGTAAAAGGCTTTCTGGGGTCTTGTCGTCAGACAGACACCAGTGGCGATGTAGGAATTTCAAGTTGATACTGCATCTCCTCAAAATCTTGTATGAGTTAGTGACCTCAACCTCAATGTGCATTTCAAAAGTAAAGTTTTTTGAGAATCTTGTTAATGTGATAACTCAAGAAGGAAGTTACCAAGGACTTTCAAATTTATACCATAGGTTTATCTACTAGGTGGCCAAGAGTGGCACTGGACAGCTGCAAGTAGTTTTAAAGCTTAGGTCAGGAACAAAAATATAGAAAGGGAAGTAAGTTTCACACAAAGAAATTGACAGTCTCAATTTTTTTTTCTGGTAGTTTCATTTTAAAGACATAATATTTATCAAAAATCCAGAAAAAAAAATCATAAAAGTTATAAACGAATTTGATTGACTAAAACCAAGCAAGAATTCTGGCTCCTACCAATTTACTGTGATTACAGTCAATCAATCAAGATACTACTGATCTCAATTCATTATATTTATAAAGCACACCTACAGGATCAGTTTCTTCCATGTTTACAAGGAAGGAAATGCTGAGTATGACCCAAAGAAAGTCAAGCACGGAGCTGGAAACATAATACTTTGAGACTTTTTTCCCTTATTGTTGCCAAGGGTACAGGACGATTTCAGCACATTAAGGGGTCAATGAACGGGGCCATAAAAGAACCTCCTTCCTTCAGACAGAACACTGAAGGTGGGTCGTGGATAGGTCTTCCAACATGACAGTGATCCAAAACATACCACCAACATGTAAATCATTCATCACTTTGATGTAATGCTTTGTTTTCTGGACTTTCGGTTCATATACTGTGTTTCTGCATCAATATTGGAGTGTGTTCATTTCCTTCTAAGTTAGCAAAATTACAAATTCAGCAGGGGATCTAATGCTTCCCCCCCCCTCATTGTACATAGTTACATATTTTATTATTTATATTTTCAGGGAATCACTACCAAATAAGTAGCTCATCTGATCTATAAGCATAATTACCCACCGAGCCAATGTCCTTTCTCTCTCTGGAAACCAACATCTTGTTATTTTTCACAGACACATCCAACTTCCTAGTTTGTGCTTGCTCGAGTAAGACGTCAAACTCAACCCTGTGATGAAAGCAGGTTGGGACAAAAAGGAAACCATGTCAATGGCTGAGCTTTAAAGATACACAATCTGCAAACTATAAATTGTCAATTCTTCCTATTTGAAAAAATTAGTACACGATGGTTAATGAATCAGGTAAGCGTACTTTTCATTGAAGACAGGATTAGTTGTCCTCTTCTTGACATGCGTCTTCTTACGATGCTTCCAGGTTTGGTCGGGGAGGAGATACAGGCGGACGTAAGAGTCTGTGCCATTCTCGCTGCAGGGGAATAGATCCCTGTGTGGTAGAGGCCAAGGTATTTAAGTTTTGAATATTTAATTACATTTTTTACTAATTAAATACTATTGAGGACAGATTTTTGGGACATACCTGCACCTGTTAACAATGACAACAAGCTTATGTCTCAGGGTTGCGTAGCGTATAACCAGCTCAATCTCTCCAAACGAACCCTGATAATTCCTAATGGCCCTAAAGAGGAACAAATATGCAAAGGTCACTTTTATTTCTACTCTTTCAAAAATGCGGCAACTGCCTCAGTTCACCACATTTCTAGAAAGGTTAGACGTCGACATTAACAGAACATGCAGAGAACAAAGTCTCACTCGGGATAGGTGGCTCCATCTGACAGGTCGAATCGTGATGAAGCAATGGAGTTCTCCGACAGCAGGCTGTGAGAGTCGAACCGACGCAAGTTTGCTGATGAAGATGATTCCTTCCCGTTTTCCGGCGCCTGGAAGGAGCCACGGCGTTGACCTAAATAACCTTCATTTGGTGAAGTTGGCACTTGTTTCGGAGTAGAGACAACAGGAATTTCTTTGGAGGAAACTGCGTTAGAAGAGGATGGAGCGTTGGAGGGATTGGAGACTGAGGTATTCCCTGCTTGTTTGGTCTGTTGCTGTTTGACTTCTGAAGGAGGATTGACGATAGGCTTGGGTGGAGGCTCTTCCAATTTAAGAATCTGTGTGAGTTGAAGACATGAGCAATGCTACTGTGGCTAAAACTATCACTTATGAGAGAGGTGGAAAACACAATGGGGAAACCAACAGAGATCATTTGTTTTGTGTGTATGTATGCATGCCCACCCTCAGAGTGGCCTTCAGTTTGATCTGGCTGGTTGCTCCAGAGCGCTCCAGCAGGAAGCGCTGGTCTAGAGTCAGGTTGGAGGTGTTGAGGAGGCGACTGAGGGGCAAGTTGAGAACACCGAGTGGATTCTTCTTCTCAGGCTCTTTGACCTGAACCACATGAACAAAGAAGATATGAAAAATACAAATTACATTAACCTCATGAGGAGATCAGACAGATTGAAAGAATCTAGTTTCAGAATATGCTTTAGAATCATAAAGTAGTTGTGGAGAAATAATGATTGAAGAATATGGTAAATACAATTAGAAACCTTTACTTCTTTAATGTTAAAAAATGTAAAAAATAAATAAATAAATAAAAAAATTTGCGAATAGTTTTGTTGCTTTTTATGCCAGAAAGAGAAAACAAACCTGAATGGAGAGCTGTTGCGCTTTGACGTTACGCACAAAGAAGGTGAAGCCCTCCTCCCACACCGGGTCTTTGGAAGCATACACAACCTGGGAAACAGTGAATCGAGTAGTAAAAAAAAAAAAAAAAAAAGTTTTAAGACAGTTACTGTGCTACGTGTTTGCAATGGAAATATTTTTACAACACAGACTTTATATATATTACTGATCAAAGATCAAAGTGCTTCTAGAATAAAAATAGTCAAACATTTTTAATTTTAGGCCACTTTAGAGAAAATAATGCTTAGAGTTGCTGGTGGGCTTTAGTTTTTTTCCCAATGCTAAGTCAGTCCGAAAACTAAAAGTTCTGATTTAACTAGAAATGACTAAAATGTGTTTTAACACCTGAAGTACTACAGCCCAAATGCTGTAGTACTTCATTCAGGTTTAATTATGTTGGGCTTAAAGTGAATTTATTAAATGCCTTCTTAATAGCAGCTACGGTATGAAATCTATAAAACATTACACAACTAATTTTTTTTTTTTTAAATATGCTGTTGTCAGTACTGTGACTCGTAGGATCTGGAGCAGTGAAACACAGATAATCTCTGTTCTTCTCACGGAAATAACAAATAAGTGTGGGTGTTGAGACATCCACAGACAGACACGTTTCTGTCATAAGTGGGATTTTTGTGTGTGTGTGAGAATTTACTTGAAATATACCTGCTATGTTTTCTAACATATTTCATAATAAAGCTCCTCAATGTAGACCATTCTCTGGTTTAAAAAAAATAATCTGCTACATTATGAACAAAGGGGAAATATTATCACACAAAGTGTTCACAAACATAACTATATTGTAAAATTGTAAAGTGGATAAACGGTAGCAAATCAGCAAGTCTAACCATCTGGATTCATCACATATGAACAAGAATATAAAGAACAGAAACATTTAAAGGAGAAAACGACGTATCAGCATGTTTAAGTGAGAGCAATACCTTGCTTTTCTTAACATCCTTGTCAATGGAAAATTCAACAAATGAGTTGGGGCAGGCGACTCTCTTTGTGAGCTGAAAATAAAGCAAATCAGTGAGACAGTGAGAGTATCAGTTTTCTAATTACTGACTTCTATGTCAACACTAATACCAGAATTACCAACTTGCAGTTGTAAACCTCTAATAACAGTTAAGTTGCAGTTTACATCCAGTCCATCATCTTTTCGTGTGAAATTTTGTCATAATTACGGTATGAACTTGAAAAGAAAAGCGTCTGGACTTCTTTAGGTCCCAGATTTAAGATGGGAGAGTCCCAGATTTAAACCCAGTGGGACTCTCCACCATTTTACCCTAGAACTGAAGAAGCTTCTCAGATGGGAGGTGAAACGTCTTCAAGCAACCTAAAGAAGTCCAGATGCTTTTCTTTCCAAGCTCCTTAGACTACGATGACCTGGATGACTGAGAACTTTCACAGACATACGGTATGAATTCTTCAGCTGTGGCCAAACCTGTGCTTGTGAGCTTAAGTCACTGTTTACCTTTGATTTCATCCTTTTTACAGATTTTTTACACATGCCATCCATTTGCAAAACCACAGTGAACAAAAAATGTCTATAAAGGAGCACATATATATATATTAAGAATAACTAAGTACAACAAAACTGCTGAAACTGAACAAAAAAAACAAAAAACAAAATCCTGCCCCAAGTGGAGGACTTTAAGTATCTCAGGGTCTTGTTCCCGAGTGATGGGAGTAGGGAGCGGGAGATCGGGGGACAGGCGGATTGGTGTTGCGGCTGCAGTGATGCGGATGCTGTTGTGGTGAAGAGAGAGCTGTCTGTAAAAGCAAAGCTCTCAATTTACCGGTCGATCTATGTCCCTGAGGCTGTGGGTAGTGACAGAAAGAACGAGATTGTGGATACAAGCAGCAGAAATGAGCTTCCTATGAAGGGTGGCTGGCCTCTCCCTTAGAGATAGGGTGAGACCTTCAGCCATCTGGGAGGGGCTCAGAGTAGAGTAGCTGCTCCTCCACCTCGAAAGGAGCCAGTAGAGGTGGTTTGGGCATCTGACAAGGATGCCTCCCAGAGAGGGAGGTCTGGGCTTCTCTACTAAGGCTGCTGCCCCCGCGACCCGGCCCCGGATAAGCGGAAGAAGATGGATGGATTGATGATGAAAAACAAAACAAAAAATCCACATAAGATCTAGATAATAATAGCTACAAGGTGAAGATCACCTTCTGGAATTTCTCAACTGTATTTAACATGATTCAGCGGTTTCTACTGAGACAGAAGCCACAGGAAACCTCACTAAACACGTCATTTATCTCATGGATCACTGCATACCTGACAGGCAGGCTGCAGTATGTGACACTCGGCAGCAGTCTGCCTTCTGTCATTGAAATTCTTTGTGGGTTCTACAAACGTTGGGTGTTTGTCAACAAGCAGACTGGAATCTTATGAATTCAACCCAGTATTAAATGCAAACACACCACAGAAACTGGGACGTGTGGGAAAAAGAAGTGTAAGCTGAGATTCATTAGAGGCACGGGGACACACACACACACACACACACACACACACACGCGCAAACTACAATGGCCAACCCTCATTTTTTGCATTTCAGGATAATGAAACCTTAACTCAAGACACTCAGTGTTCTCTCACACACTTCTGACTGCTTTTTCATCCTATGACCAGCAGAGGACAGTCAGAGGCAATGAAATTATGCCACCTTGCACGAAGTGGAAGCTTAAAAGCTCTGAGTAAAAACGTTTTCTTAAAGAATTCCCACAGTTTCCTATAATTGCCTAAAACATCAGATGGATGGGATTCATATTTATTCATAAAGTCTAAGAAAAATGTGAATATTGTTACCTTAGAAACATCATTCTGCAACTAGTTTAAAAATGTAGTAGTTTAATGACTACGTTTTTCTCAGCACAGTCCTGATGAGTAGTGCGAGTGTGAGAAACTTAACCTGGAAAAGCCTCAGGTGATATGGAAACCAGCTGACAATAACACACTCATACAAAGTGACAGGCATGCACCAGACAAACTGGAAGGACCAGCTTTCACAGACACAACCACACCTAGAACTACAAGAGAAAGCTAATCTGACCGAGACATCAAGATACGAAAGTGCTATCAACTGCACAGTGTTAAAATGAAACAGAAGCCGAGAGTTTTATTGGACAGTCAAAGAAAACAACCATCTGCGTATGTGAACGACAGACTTTGAGGCAAACATCTTCTTGATTTATCATTAAGAAGGAAAAAAATTATGTAATGTGGTTTTTTTTGAACAAGCAAAATGAAATGTAGAAAATGCAGAAATGACGCCAATTTTATTAACTGGCATCAGTTATGCAACGACACTCTCGTCTTACCCGTTCTTCTTTGGCGTTCTTCCCATGTTTATGACGGTCTGCAGCCTCACGGCCATCTTTCTATACAGAAGTGGAAGAATATAGCTGAGCACACTTGAATCAATGCCTTACAACAACAGCAATATTTCCCATTAGAACAGGGTTGGGCAATTCCAGGCCTCGAGGGCCGGTGTCCTGCAGGTTTTAGATCTCACCTTGGGTCAACACACCTGAATCACATGATTAGTTCGTTACCAGGCGTCTGGAGAACTTCAGGACATGTTGAGGAGCTAATTTAGTCATTTAAATCAGCTGTGTTGGTTCAAGGACACATCTAAAACCTGCAGGGACACCGTCCCTCGAGTCCTGGAGTTGCCCACCCCTGCATTATAAGATACTTACTGGTAGATCAGTGGCATTGTCCAGATACACTGCAAGCATAGCACAGGCAAGGTTGTCGGTGGACTGGAAGAAAGTGTTGGAGAGGGAAAAATAATGTCATTTATGGAGCAGCTGAGCGCAGTGCACATCCTGCCGCAGCTTTTAGTTCAAAGTAAAATGTATGAACGCGGATGTTAGCGAGACTGAAGAAACACTGGGCTGCTGTACCTCCTTCATCAGGCTGGTGTCAGTCTGAAGGGAAAACCACTGGAGCTTAAGATGAACTTCACCGTGCTGTATGTCCTCCAGAGCAAACCACTGGGAGAATAAGAGGATGCTTTAATGTAAATACAAAACTATAGAAAATAGTAACACATACAGGAGCATTTGATAAGACATGTTGTTTTATAGAGATTACTGAGCTTATTCAGGATAAAAGAGCTCACCTGATCCATTTGTTTTCCCCTCTTCACTTCTCCCAAATCGAGGTTATATCTAAAGCAGATGTGAAATAAAAACATAACGTCAATAATGCGTCAGAACTGCATGTTTATATCACCTTCATAGCTACAAATCCACTGATGTCAATGACTCTGGGAAGGACTAATACAAGATGATTGATGCTATCCACAGATTCTGTCCAATATGATTTTCTGACCATAAAAAAGACCTCAACAGTTTCAAACTGTTGCCTGGTTCTTAAAATGCACTGAGGCAGACGTGGCTCTGCACCAGGACTCAGACCAGCATGATGAGGTAAGTAGAAATACTGGAGTCTATCAGTGCTACCTTTCTGCCTATAACTAGATGCACCTTTCTATTTTAAATTGCCAGGTGACTTTCTCCTTGAGCTATTGCGGTCACAAAATTTTCACAAAACTTGACCTCTGACCTTGACCTTGAGGTCAGGGTTACTGAGATTCAAACTCATCTATGACTTGTAGTGCATACAGCTATGGTATCAATTTAAAGCTCCTATGTCACCTCGTTTTCTGGTCATCATATTTACAACCTCAAGTGTCCCCTTTGCCCGCCTGGCGGGATGACAACAACACCCTATCAGCCTTTTACTGATATCAGCAGAGGGCTAAGAACCAAAGAAATCAGAGGTAACACAAAATGGCACAAGTATGCTAAATACCTTCCAAGAAAATCATCTTTGTCTGTGTCCTCATCATAGAGCTCTAATTCCAGCTCTTGGCCCGGCGCTTCATGGACAACAAACTGCATAAAAAAAAACAAAGATATTTCAAAATGTCTTTCATGTTTAATGAGTCTGATTTCTCAGAATATTATGGGTAAGGTTTTTAGTAGATTACTTATAGATAATGGGATATTAGATACTAATAAATTGTAGCCTTCAAATAATGAGTTATTTGTTTTTTACAACCAAAAACAAGCATCTCTGTCTTCAATAGCATGATGCAGACGGGATTACAGTGTAAGAAAAACGTCTGTGTTAGGATGATCGCATCAAATCTGCACAGGCCATCTGCTCAACCATCTCCGAGTTACGTACAAATTTTACAAATTTGAACATATACA